CTTAATGATGGGTGGACCGCCATGAGCGGCAATGCATGGGGGGTCTAGGGGGTGCGGCAAATACGGGATGTCGTGGAATGTGTTTTTTGTTTTTTTTTTCTTTCCATCTTTATTTCATCCTTAATGATGGGTGGACCGCCATGAGCGGCAATGTATCGGGGGTCTAGGGGGTGCGGCAAAGACGGGATGCTGTGGAATGTGTTTTTTTTTTTTTCTTTCTATCATGATTTCTTCCTTAATGCTGGGTGGACCGCGATAAGCGGCAATGCATGGGGGGTCTAGGGGGTGCGGCAAAGACGGGATGCCGTGAATTGCGTTTTTTTTTTTTTTTTTTTCCATATTTATTTCTTTTTTAATGATGGGTGGACCGCCATGAGCGGCAATGCATGGGGTGTGTAGGGGGTGCGGCAAAGACGGGATGCCGTGGAATGTGTTTTTTTTTTGTTTTTCTTTCTATCTATATTTCTTCCTTAATAATGGGTGGACCGCCATGAGCGGCTGTGCATGGGGGGTGTAGGGGGTGCGGCAAAAACGAGATGCCGTGTAATGTGTTTTTTTTTTTTTTCCTTTCTATCTTCATTTCTTTCTTAATGATGGGTGGACCGCCTTGAGCGGCAATGTATGGGGGGTCTAGGGGGAAATGGTTGTTTGAGTGCGACAAAGACGGGATGTCGTGGAATGTGTTTGTTTGTTTGTTTGTTTTTTTTTTTTCCTAGGGGTGTTTTTTTCCTCTCTCTAGGGGTCTTTATGTTTGTTCCTTCTCTTGTTTGTCGCTGTGGTTGTTGTTGAACTTGTGCACGTTCATGTCACTATCCATCTTTTACAGGTTGATTTGTCGGTTGTTTAGTAACTTCGGTGCAGTTCTTCGTCATCGGCGCCAGAGTTCGTTTCAGTTCACCTCTTGTGTAGATTTCATTCGGTCTCCACAACATGTCTGACCCACGAGGCAATAACGGGAAGGGCCCCGCGGAGTCGTCCTCGGCAACGGGGAAAGGGCGGAGGGTAGTAGAAAATGTCATAACACGAAGACCTTTGACTCCCCTTTCAAGGTGGATCCAAAGACGGATGCAAAACGAGATGATCCTGTTTGGCATTTCGTTGCTCGTGGTCGTTATTTAGATGGATCCACTGTGGTCGGAAGGAAGAACGGTTGTCGTTGTATGTGTAGGTTATGCGGCCGTTTTCCATATGGGGGTGCGCTCGTGATGCGAAGAAACACTTTTTTCGTGGTGAGTGGTACAGATGCCCCGTGGCGACTCAAGCGGTGTGGCACGCGATTTGGTCAAAGGATATGTCCAAGTGTCCTGCACATTTGGCCTCTGCCATGCAAGTCTTGCAGAGTCTCCCTCCATCTCATCCCGCTTTTCAATGGCCACCTCTTCGTTTTCCCGAGGACGTCTTTCCGCCGTCCCCGTCGACCGCCGCCCCCTCACAAGTGGCGCCATCTCCATATGCACCACTTGCTCCCCTCCCCCCTCGTCCGGCGGCAGTCTCACCTGCGCCGCTTGGTCAGACGATTCCCGCATGCGTTGATGGCAGGCCATCTGTGGCAGCGCAGCCTGATGCAGAAGGCACCGTGCCAGTTTGCGGTGTTGGGAAACTTTGTCGTTCGACGAGCAAGGCACTCGTGCTTTCGTCGAGGGTGATCAGTGGGGGAAGGGCACTGGCACATCATCCGGCCTCGCCCCGTTGTTCACTAGTAACAGGGACAAGGTCCGAAGAGTTCGACGCGCAGGCACACGTCCGACCGTGGAAGGAGCACCCGCAACAGGACATCAATCTGATGCGTATCCATGGTTGTCTCCCCCTCCTTCGCAAACACGACGGCCTACACCAGACTTGACTTCAGCACCACTTGGCGAGGCCGCTGCAACGGTCCCTGAGGGATCGGGGAACATCCCGCTCAACGAGCCCGTTTAGGTTTCGGATTCGTCACCCACTCCTATGCCCGTGAACGGCCCGACCTCGCAGCACGGTGTTTTTGGGACACTGGATCCTTTACAAAATCTGCGCAACATTGCAGCTCCGAGTCCAGGCCCCACCGCATCACCTGCGGCCGGGGGCGGGGTGTGGGATTCGCTAGGTATGGGCGCCGGTGCACGAGTGAGGGGCACTTACAGGCAGCATGCAGTGACCTCATATTACAATGACCCGCTGGAGCACGCATGGCACCTGCAGATCATGCGATTCATTGTCGAGAGCGGCATGTCGTTCAACTGTGTGAAGCTTGAGAGCTTCAAACGCATGCTGACGTTGATCATCCCGCCGGGGGTTCCAGGAGTCCCCACCCCAAAACCCCCGACGTATCACATGATCCGTACCACACTTTTGGATGAGCTTGATGTGGAAGTCCAAAAGTGTGTGAAACCTGTCCTTGCTACTTCAGCTACCTACGGTTGCACGATTATGACAGACGGTTGGACCAACATTCGGGGCCAAACATTGTGCAACTATCTCGTCGGCACTACACGGGGCGCCACATACGTCGCGACAGATGTTATGCGAGGAAAGAAGGATGCCACTGCTCTGGCGCGGAATTGGCTGTGGAGGTTGAAATCCCTTGACATCAAGCTCACTGACATCACCGTTTTCGTCACAGACTCTGCCAGTTCGAACGTTTCTTGCGATGGAGGTGTTCCAGAAGGATGATTGTGTTTAACACATCTTCTGAATTCCTTGTGTGGCACATATCATGGATCTCATCCTTGAGGACATCGGCGACATTGACTGGGTGACGACCCGCATTGCTCAGGCGCRTTTGGTCACAAAGTTTTTCAAGCGTCATAGTCACGCTCGCGAAGTTTTACAAGCTTTCACGACAATGGCTCTGCTGCTTCCCGCCAAAACTCGCTTCGGTACGCATGTGATTATGATGCGACGACTTCTTCAGCTGCAATCGCATCTTATGCAGGTGGTCGTTGGTGATCGATGGAAGGACACTGTTTGGTCAACGAAGAAGATTCGAGACGACGACGTGGAGGTCACAACATGTGTCGGTTGTACTTAGTGGTGGGAGGATATGAGAGTGCTGTGCAAGTTGTTGGATCCCATCATGGACATGCTGCAGATGGTGGACAGCGACACGAGGCAGATTGGCAAGATTTTGTGTCGGTACGACGAGATGATCGTGCGTTGTTTGTCTGCATGTACCGCTTTGGAGAAGGACGAGCAGGACGCGCTGCTTGAAGTGTTTGACAGACGTCGCACCATGTTCAAGTCGCCAGCTCATGTTACTGTCATGATGTTGGACCCCGAGTTTCGAGACCGCACGATGCCAGACGAGGAGGAGATGCAGCACGGTTTGAAACTCGCTCTGATTCAGTTTGGGTACCCGGAGCATTCGAATCAGCACAACGAGGTCCTCACTGCCATTGATAAGTTTCATTATAGGGAGCCGCTGTTCGACGACGTGGTCATGGACCGGGCGGCGAGGAGCTATACCCATCCAGCCTGTTTTTGGGAGTCAAGGAGAAGAGGTTCCCGCACACGACCTTCTTCGCTGGTAGGATACTGTGTGTGTGGGCGACTGCATCGCCTTGCAAGAGAGCTTGGTCCCGTTGGAGTTTCATCCACTCCAAATCTCGTAACAGATTGGAGGTGGCATGGGGCGAGAAGCTCGTGCGATTTCATTGGAACCTTCGGCTCCTCGACAGGCAGGCTATGTCGGATGATGCTCCCAATGACAGACCACATCCGTATGGGAGATGGGTGCACTACTGGCAGCAGGTGGAGGAGGAAGTGCCCACCGACCAGCAGCTTGTGGCAGACCGAGGAGCCCGTGTGACGGTCACGAAGGAGGAGTTGATGCAGGCGAGAGAGAGGATGTGCGCCGTGTCCCGCATGGGAGCCACTCGTTGATTGAGGGAGTCCGAGAGGAGGAGGTGTCGGTGGTCGCGGAGGTGGTCGTCGGGCCAGTCGTGGGCGAGGTGGCCGTGGAGGTCCTGGCGGGAGGAGTGTCACGAGTCGTCGAATGACGGTGGCCGAGCTTGTACGCAAGCCACGACAACGATGGGATGAGGGAGACTTTCTGTACGAGAGCTCGTCCAGTGACGATGAGGATTTCTTTGGGACTGGCCGGACTGCACAGGATGATGACAACGATATCGACAACCGTCACCCTGACGTAGACGACGACGATGGCGTCAGAGACGATGATCGTGGTGATGGTGGAGATCGGCCACGACCTCGCTCGACTCGGACAGACGCTGACAGAGGGCCTGACGAGGGAGCGAGACATTGTCACGATGAGGGTGGCGCTGGCCTGACGAGGGAGCGAGACATTGTCAGGATGAGGGTGGCGCTGATGCACGAAGCGGCGGAGGGGCCTGGAGACCTGCAAATGGTGACACCATGCACGACGACGGGGCAGGAGGCGAGCACCGCACAGTCTCGGATGACGCTCGAGGGGCCTCGAGACCTGCAAATGGTGACACCATGCGAGGCGACGGGGCAGGAGGCGAGCGCCGCACAGTCTCGGATGACGCTCGAGATGGAGCGTCACGGATGACGCTGGAGATGGGCGGTGCCTTGAGGCGCTTAAAACGTGGGCCAAGAGAACAAGACACCATCGCTTCACGTGTGCGCAGACGTCATGGTGGGGTTGCTAGCGTTCCGCTGGTCAGAGTCCCTGCAATTGTCATGAGCAGATTCCAGTTTTCGAGGACTCTTTGAGCGATTACGCCGATGAGGAGCGGAATGAGCTAAATGATGGGAGCGGTCATGCACGAAATGATACTTTGAGTACACACACGACAACTCCGACGGGGTCCTCTGCAGCTATCTCGGAGTTGCAACAGGGTCCTGCACCATTGATGCGTCGTCCCGAGTCCGAGGGAGACATCTGTCATCTCCCAGTAATGCATGACGAGGGTTCTGCTGGTGCAATACATCCACTCGCGTCTATCGGAGCGATAGTCTCAGCTGCAGCTACCTCAGATGTGGGACGACCACCGCCAGTGGCGGAGCAAGAGAGTATGCTCCCACCTCGCAGTGTGGGAGTGGCAACGGCGGGCTAAAGGGAGGGGGTTGCTATGCAGTAATCAGGCACACATGGAGCTGATGCAGTCAACATTGTATCGCTGCCACCGCCTGCATTGATGGAGGGGACTGTTGTTGATCTCCCGGGATGTGAGATCTCACACACTCCCGCAGCTGAGCAGAGCGCCGCAGACCATGTCGGCTTGGCATGCCCCACCGGCAGTCTTCCGGGTACAGGCGAGTTACTGGTCATGGAGTCGGCGCTCGTTTCTCTCCCAGACTTGTCGACGTTGATTTCTCCTGGTCTACTCCACATGTCACCGCCCAACCCACAACAGCCTGTCGCCATGGAGCGAGGACCAGACGAGTTTGACGAGTTCGGAGGTGATACAATTATGGTGAGGCGAATGGTGTCAGCCACGCCAACAATTTTTTGTGTTGGCAGACCACACGAGGTGGACCTTGGTAAGGCCGAGACGACGACTTGACACCGCCGCGACGGTCACCGCAGCACCGCACACCGCAGTTTTTCTGATTCGTTTGACGGCCCGGAGCAAGCTCCTATGGGTGGGGCAGTTGACACAGTCGAAAGACCAGCAACACCCCCACGTTCGCCGTCAAACTCAGAGCATCATCCCGATAGCGCGGTTGTCGGGGTAGTTACGGGCGTTCCCGCCACAAACACCGCGGATGCGACACGACAGCCTTTGGTAGGGTCATCATCATGGCGCGACACCACCACTGTTTTGGCGACAGCGGCATTCTATGTCAGTGGGAGCAGTGTTGGGGGGTTGGACGAGCAGGGAGTCCGGATTGTTGGCAGGCCATGTGCACCGTCTATGGGGACACGATCCATTGGGACTGTCGATGGTGCTCGCCACACCGCCATGACATACTATGAGGAGCGATACGGGAGTGCTTTGCCGACGAAGACCTCTGATGTCCATGCTACGAAGGCCGCGAAGGCGACTCTTTCTCGGGCGAAGAAGAGGGCCTCGGAAAGGAAGGCGTCACGTTCGTCACCACATATGCGTTCAGGTATTGGGCGATCCGGCGTTGTGCATATCGAGGACGGAGAGATTGCACCTGATGGTGATGCATTGGATGTTGGAGGGAGGGCTGCAACGACGGCGGACAGCGTCGCCATGGATGGTGCAGGGGATGGAGTGGCAGGTCAAAAGAGACGCGGCGGTGTACTTATCGTCCACGATGACAACACGGATGTCGCCCCGGGAGAGACCACAGGTACTGATGATGCGGGGGACTCCGATTACGTGCCTACAGGCCCTAAACCACGGGGGGCGGACGGGGATGATGGAGGAGGGTGGTGAGTGAGATAGAGGACACGGCTCGGGCCACAAGGGCAGCGGCCGCATGGCACAGCATTGGCGACAATTCCTTCGCCCATTGATCGGCAAGCTCAGGCGCAGCGCCCTGTGTAACCGTTTGAACGCCGTGAACGCACGTTCACGTTCAAAATGTGCGTTTGAACGCGGATTGCAAGTTCGCGTTCAAAATTGAACGGCGTTCAATTATTTTTTTATTTTTTTATTTAAAAAAATATATATATTTTAATGCCTAAAAATAACTTCGTTTTTCTGATTTGTTTTTTATGAGTTCTGTATGATGTGAGGTACATGCCTCTCAATTTTGGAGTCATTTTGCTAAGGCAAAAAAAAAAGAAAAATCGCCAAAGATGGCGGTGTCAAATCATGTTCGCTGACTAATTTCAATTCTTTTTTTACTTTTTTTATTTCCTGTTTTCTATTTTTTTTTTCCAATGTGGTAACGAATTTAGATGTAATGCTCAGGCAAATGTTGTTCATTTTATGTTTCTTCATAACATATTTGTTTTTCGGAATTCTTTGAGTTTTTTTTTTTTTTTTTCCCGCGCGGAATTGAACTCTGTGTTCGGTCCCGTTCCTTGAACGCGCGTGCATTCCGTTCAATTTCTGAATGGAAAACCCGCGTTCAATGAACGCGCGGTTTCATAGGCAGCGCCTGCTGCACAAAATGGAGGCCACTCTTCAACAGACACATGGGTCATCAATAGGCCGCACAGAGAGAGAGAGAGAGAGAGAGAGAGAGAGAGAGAGAGAGAGAGAGAGAGAGAGAGAGAGAGAGAGAGAGAGAGAGAGAGAGAGAGAGAGAGAGAGAGGGGTGTATGGGACCTCTGCAGGCTGTGCTGTTCGATAAGCAGGCCCGGGCTATCACTAGGACGGGAGGCCGTTGGCCTAGGCCCGTAGCATGAGAGCCTATAGGCGAGCAGGCAAAGCTCATAGCGATATTGCTTGAATTTGCTTCACATGAGCTGAATGTTGTACTTTTCTTTTGTTACCCTCAGAGCTGTCTCTTATACACATCTAGATGTGTATAAGAGACAGTGTGCAGGCTATGCTGTTCGAAAAGCAGGCCCGGGCTATCGCTAGGACGGGAGGCCGTTGGCCTAGGCCCGTAGCATGAGAGCCTATAGGCGAGCAGGCAAAGCTCATAGCGATATTGCTTGAATTTGCTTCACATGAGCTGAATGTTGTACTTTTCTTTTGTTACCCTCAGAGAGAGAGAGAGAGAGAGAGAGAGAGAGAGAGAGACAGTTGTATGGGACCTTTGCAGGCTAAGCTGTTCGATAAGCAGGACACGGGAGGCCCTTGGCCTAGGCCCATAGCATGAGAGCCTATAGCCGGGCAGGAAGAGGAAATTTGGATATTGGTGCACATCAGCTCAATGTTGTATAGTACTGTTCTTTTGTCACCCTCACAGTCTTGCAGAGTCGCAGGTATCTTATTGTGATTGTTAGTTGCCACTTGTTGGAGTCTTGGGAGTCTTGGGAGTACTTTCCGAGAGTGAGAAAAACGGTTCAAACACCTAGTGTTATCTCCACACCTGTGCATAGTGGTTTCCGGAACTTTCCACTGCTTACTCAGTTTGTGTACATTGTGTACTTTGTCTCCTCTCCCCTCCTTGTCAAGTTTGTGCGACATGTATGGGCATGCGGGTGATTGTCTTCGTGTGAGTGTTCCACAACTTCCACTGCTCGTGAAAAAATGAATATCGAGAAACAACTAAGTTCAGAACAGTTCTGCATACAGTCGCACGTATGTGGCGCCCCATGTGTGTGTGCGTGCAAGTGTGTGTGTGTGTGTGTGTGTGTGATGTGTGTTTGTGCTCGTGTGTGTGTTTGCTACATCGCGCCTAAAGTTCCCACAAGGGCCAAAACTTCCCAAAAGGCCCAAAAGGCCCAAAACATCCACAACGACGACAGTGACGACAGCACGCTCCCAACAGCCAGCGCACCTGTCACCCCAACAGCCGGCCGCAGCCCCGTCCACCATCCCCCCAGGGCGCCCGCCGCCTAGTGCCCCTAGGGCCCCCGCCAGTGCCCCCACCCCCCGCACCCCCCGGACACCCGCAATCACGCCCCTTCACTTGAGTGATCTCGCCCACCCACAGGCACGCATCACGCCGTGTGGCCTCGCCAATTGACCGCGCCCTCGCACCCAGACACCGCATCCGACACCGTGGTCCTGGCCCCGCATCACGCCGTGTGGCCTCGCCAATTGACCCCGCCTCCCCACCCCAGGCGCCACCCGACACCACGGTCCCCGGCCCCGTCAGCCCAGCGCCGACCCCCGCCCCCG